AGAGAGAGAGAGAGAGAGAGAGAGAGAGAGAGAGAGAGAGAGAGAGAGAGAAAGACATCACTGACATTTAAAGAGGCCCCATAAATTACTAGCTGTGTTCACACAGTTTAAAAAGGTCACCCAAAGTGCAGACGGGGTGTCGCACCGGTCCATCCTCGCGCCTTCTCGTTCGTCTGTTTGTGTGTTTGTTTGGGTAAAAAGAAGCACATCGACACAATAATGGCCGTGTAGTTCAGAGAAAAAAGTAAGACCGACAGACAGAAACAACAGCGGGAAAGTACAGAAGTGGGACATATCAGTTTGTACCCTTAAACCTCCCGCGACTTTTAGTTCTTGTTTAAGAATGCACCAAATAAATGTCTGTGGCCTTACCTAAACTGAAACTCGGAAAGAACAGAAAAATAAGGTCATAACTCACCCTGAAATACTTCCTGATGTTTACCAAAAATAGTTATTGATGATGAAAGAGAGCGTGATCTTGGTAGGATAAGTAATGTCAAAAATGATTGTACGCTTCCTTGTTAGACGTAGATGGCTGTCGTTGAAACACAAATCTACATTTTCCTTAAAGTTGATAGATTTATTTAGTTTTTCTTCTGTTTTCCTCGTTTGGCTTCTAAATCATTTGTTTAGATATATACAGTGAAAAACTCGGATACAACGAAGTCGCCCGCCCCAACCTTCCATTTCGTTGAATCCGAGTGTTCGTTAGAGCAGTGTGAGCTACGGTAATGTTTATTCCCACAGACAAGTGTACAATAATTCAGAACGTAGTGCTATGTCTGGGCTAGTCTATCACTGTTTAGTAGCTGGGTAAGGTTTAGTAACATAATCCAGCACATCCGTCCATTTAATTCTAATTTGGCTTACTTGCAACATACATTTTTTCTATGAGAGACAAACGGACGGACGGACTGACAGACGGACGGACAGACAGATAGACAGGAAAGGGGGAAGTGGAAAGTGGAGAGAGAGAGAGAGAGAGAGAGAGAGAGAGAGACAGAGAGAGAGACAGAGAGAGAGAGGGGGGAGGGGGGGGGGTAACCTAACAGGTATGGCGATAAGTGGAATACAGAAATAGGAACACAAATACAGACTGACAGACAGACAGACACACAAGCAGACAGACAGACACACAAGCAGACAGACAGACAGACAGACAGACAGACACACACACAAGCAGACAGACGGACGAACGGAAGGACGGACACACGGACAGACGGACAGACAGAATCCCGAACCCGAAATCTCTGAGTCCCGACACACCCGATCACAAACTTCCCCAACTATAAATATACGCAAGCTGATGCAATGTTGAACCATGGCTCCTCGATCATTTTTTCGCGGCTTTTCGCCCACTTGGAACTGGTATTCTTATCAAATAAATACTCTGTCTTCTCAACGATTGTAAAGTACAGAAAATGGCCTAAAATACATACCGAGGGGTCGCAAAGAAGACTATGGGCTTACAAATGTTACAAGAGAGTAACAAATACAAAAATGAAGGAGAGATAAGGACGATAGATGTTTGATGAGAAAGAAAAATAAAATCACACCCGAATACCCGCCAATGACCCTCGGCCAAAATAAATGGAAAAGGAACATTCTTTGACACGCGCAAAACAGATAACAAACGCTCAGAAAAAGTATACATCTGAGAATGGGAGGAAGTGCACGTAAACGAACCTTCAGATTCTTGTAGAGGGGGGAAAGCCTTACATAAACACAATGCTGGTCATAAGAATCTATCAATTTTTGGGGGAAGGCAAGAAGGCCAAGCCAAGAGAATTGTATGTATTCCTGAGCATGAGTCCAAACGCTAAGGAAATACTGTACCGTCGAACCTGCTCTAACAACAACCACCTGTATAAGACAATCATCTATACAAACA